GAGGCCGAGCAGTGGGAGGAGACGAGAGCACCGGTGTATGACATGGAGGTGAAAACAGCGAAGAAAGATGGCATTTACTAAGTAAGTGGGAGGAGGAGCAGCCAGGAGGGGACAGAGAGAATGGTCATGGACATAGGAAGGGAACCAGGGATGAAGCCATGGGTATGCCCTGCAGAAGTGATGGCGGAGCCACAGCCCATCCCCAGGCCCACGTGGCCTGGTCCCTGCTGCCTCACCGGGCACCCTGCCCGCCACTCACCCTCTGGCTCTCTGTCCTCCAGCCACACCTCCTCCTGCCTGCTACTCTCACAATCTCTGCTGCCCCCCTGCCTGGACCACCTCTCTTCTGCTCATAGCCCCTCCACATCACCAACTAGTTAACTTCCTTCTTCCAACATTTTTTTTTTTAAAACTTTGTTCTTGAGAATACACACACAGAACATAAACCAAGTCAACAGTTTCTACATGTACAATTTAGTGACACTGATTAGTCTTTGACTTGTGCAACTATTCTCACCCTCTTTTTCTGAGGTGTTCCTCCCCCGTTAACATAAATTCACTGCCCCCTTAGGTGCCTATCCTATCTTTAGAGTTGCTGTTGGCAAATTGATCCCAAGTACATAGTTCTCAAAAGAGTGTAATGCTCAAGAAAGACTTTTTTTTTTTTTTTAAACTAGTTAAGCTAAACTATTGCTTGCCTTTCAGAAGATTCCAGGGGATAGTTTTGGTTTAAGGTTTAAAGATTATCTCAGGGCAATAACTTCAGGAGTTCATCCAACCTTCATGGCTCCAGGATGTCTGGAGTCCATGAGAATTTAAATTCTGTTCTGCATTTTCCCCCTTTTGATCAGGATTCTTCTATGGAATCTTTGATCAAAACGTTCAGTAATGCCAGCTGGGCACCATCCAGTTCTTTTCTGGTCTCGTGGCAAAGGAGGCAACTGTTCATAAAGGCAATTAAGAGCACATTCCATATCCTCTTCCTATTCCTGACTCTCCTTCTTCCTCTGTTGCTCCAGGCGAATAAAGACCAATTGTTGCGCCTTGGATGGCTGTTTATAAGCTTCTAAGACCCCAGGCACTACACAATGAACTAGGAAGTAGAACAGAAACACTACATATGTGCTTCTATTCTAGGCCAATTATCTGGGATGTCCCATGAAACCATGTCCCTAAACCTCCAAACCAAGAAACCAAATCCCATGAGGTTTTGGGATGCACAGTCATGTGCTGCATAATGTCTGTCTGGGCAATGTCCGACCACATCTCTGACCGACTCAGTATACAGTGTACCTTTCTATGCATAAAGAAATTAAAGAAACACTTCCAAATGCACTAAAACATCTTTAACATAATAATACAGTAACAATAATGTTTTGATGTGTTGCAAAGTAGCACTCACTTGTTAGTACAAACCATTGTATGTATCTCGAATTTTTAAGTAATAAGCTTTACAAGGGCTAGTTTGCAACTACGGGTTGTACATAAGTTGGACATTCGTAACTTGGGGGCTGCCTGTACATAACATGGTGTTCACACAACATTCAGATCACACAACGTCCTATTTCACAGACTGTATTGTACGTGTTAAGTGACATGTGACTGGACACAAATAGCCTCAGCAGCTACTTTTTTTTTTGTCACTGTTGTAAATATATCTATCACACAACTTTTGCCAATTCGACTTCTTACAGGTGTACAAATTATTGACAGCAATTATAATAATTACCTGTGCAACCCTACCCTTAATGCAATTATTTCCATCACTGTTAATCCCTCCTTCTCCCCTCCCTCCTGCCCCTGCTAACCACTAATAAACTTTGGTGTCTATATATTTGCCTTTTTTTGTCTTTTTATAGAAGTGAGGTCATACAATATTTGTCCTTTCGTGAATGACTTATTTTCCTCAGCATAAAGTCTTCCAGCTCCTCCATACTGCGGCACGTATCAAGACTTCACTTCCCCCACTAGCTGAGGAGTGTTCCACTGCATGTATGCACCACATTTTGTTTATCCACTTGCCTGCTGACGGGAATTTGTTTCTACCTTTTGGCTATTGTGAATAGTATTGCAATGAACACTGGTGTACAAGTGTCTGTTTGAGTCTCTGCTTTCAAGTCTTTCGGGTATATATCTAAAAGGAGAATCGCTGGGTCATATGGTAATTCTATTTTCAGTTTTTTGAGGCAACGCCACACTGTCTTCCAACATTCTTTCTTCTTATTTTTTTTTGAAAAAATTTTTTTATTGTGCTTTAGATGAAGGTTTACAGAGCAGGTTAGTTTCTCATTAAACAATTTCTTAAACTTAAAAAAAAACTAAACTTCTAATAGACTTTTAATCCGCTCATCTTTCAAATGTTTAAATGTCAGTGCTTCCAAGTGCTTCAAACCTTCATTGCTTCCCCTAAGCATAGGTCAGGCCCCTGTAACATGCTCTCACATTTCTCCTTCGTAGCACATAATAGAGTCAATTAAATAATTTCCTGTACATTAGTTATAGAATGTCTCTCTTCCTTGTTGGTAAGGCCCATGAAGCAGGAACCGTGTTTGGCTAACTCAGGGGTCAGCAAACTTTTTCTCAAAAAGGCCAGATAGTAAATATTTTTGGCTTTGTGGGCCATATGGTCCCAGTCACAACTATGCAGCTCTGCCATGGGAGCCCAAAACAGCCTCTGACAAGATGTAAATGAATGGGCGTGGCTGCATTCCAATAAAACTTTATTTACAAAAATAGGTGGTGGGCCAAAGGGTCATACTTTGCTGACCCTTCATCTAAATCACCAGCACTCCGTCTAGCGCCTGGCATATAGAAGGTACTTAATGAATGAATAAGGCTAAAAAAATGCCATCAAGGTTGGCAATCAGATGGAAAGTGGAAGCCAGGGAAGGTGGCTTTAGTGGAATCGCGGGGGTGGGGGGAATAGAGATGACAGCGGGCTGAGGAGTATGCAGAAGTTGAGGAAGTAGGAACTTCTCTTTCAAGAGTTCCACAACTTGCGGGGCAGGGTTGGGGAATGGTATTGTTGCTGTGGCGCGGGGTAGATCATGAGTACGGTTGTGGGTTATGATAAGAAGGCAGGGCTAGGTAGTAAGCAAAGGAAAAATTGATGAAGAGTAGGGTGCGTGGGCTCCAGAGCTCAAGACTGTGCCTGGGGCGGAGAGTGGGTCTTGAAGAAGGAAGACACCTTCCGTCGCTGCGGAAAGAAGACATGGAAAGGTTGTTGTGTGCCACTGAGTTGATTCTGACTCATAAGACCCTATAGGACAGAGTACAAGCGCCGCATAGGGTTTCCTAGGTTGTAATCTTTACCGGAGCAGATCGTCAGGTCTTTCATTCTGCGGAGCTGCTGGGTGGGTTTGAACCACCGACCATTTGGTTAGCAGCTGAGTGCTTAACCATTGTGCCACCAGGGCTCTTTCAAGGAAAGGCAGAAAGAAATGAAAGGGAAGCCTTGTATTTTTGCCTGTGAAACGTGAGGGAAGACATGTGGTGAAGACAGTGCCACCCAGAAGGCTGAGGAACCATGGGTGTCTGGCGGGTCAGGAGCTGTGGGCAAACCAGGTGTGGTGGCAGCCCAGGACAGGGACACAGGCCTCCCCAGTAAGGACAGCACCAGACTTCCTCTTCTTCTGAGTGGAACACGCTGAGAGGAACGCTTCTAACCGAGGTGACACCTGGGTGTTTTGTGGGTTCTGTGCTTCCAGGTCTGACTGAGTGTGAAGTGTGTCACTGAGTCACCAGCGCTACCTGCTGTCCCTTCCTATTGCTCACTTTCCCGTGCAGGCAGTGACAGGCAGGCCCCGAGGAGGATGAGGTCAAGCCTGAAACATGCGGACATACCCAGTTTTTTCTTGGAGGATACCAAAAGGCATTTTAATTTCAGAAATAGCCAGCGGTAGATTTCATCCCCACGTCTTCAGACACGCAGGAGACCCACAGAGTTTAACAAAGCAGTTACCAAAAATAACCAGCACATAAACTGACAACAGGAGCTTGTAATTTCTCAAGGGACAATGCTGTGGCGGTTTCCCTCATCTGCTATAACATACAACTTATCTGCGATTTCTGTTAGGCAGATGATCTGCATAGAGCACAAGAGCACATTTTACCCAAATGATGGATAATATAGAATTCTTCAAATGGAGGAAAACATGTGATTGGGAGCTTAACAATAAAAATACTATACCAGCTACTTAGTTTTACAAGCATAACATAAAATTAAAACCTGTAAGACACAACTTCTCACATAAAACCAAACCAAACCCATTGCCATGGAGTCCATTCTGACTCATAGTGACCCTACAGGACAGAGTAGAACTGCTCTATAGGGTTTCCAAGGAGCGGCTGGTGGACTCGAACTGCCGACGTTTTGGTTAACAGGTAAGCTCTTAACCACTGTGCCACCAGGGCTCAGAGAAGGTATTCGGTATTGTAATACTTAAATACCTTGAAAAGTTTTCTCAGAGTCAAAAAGCTATAAGCTAGTCAATTTCACTTATCCAAAAAGTCAGAGGCCTGAAAAAAATCTTACATTTCAACATTAATTTACTAATTCATTATCACGACCACTGCGGGAATGTGTGAAAAAGATTCGGATTCTGTTCTACTTTTTGGGAAGAACTAAAACCATCTAAAAATCTTTTAATTGACATGCTTGAAAGAATAATATCAGGACTTGTTTTCTTAGAACTCATTTTGAGATATAATTACTGTCGGTATCTATAGACGGAAACATAACTTATTATAGTCTAATAATAAGGAAAACTCTAACTCACATTTTCCTTTTGATGTTTTTCACCCTTCACAAATCAAAAGTACATTTCCTAAAACACAGCAATGCTTTCTGTATTCTTCCAAGCCCTTCCTGAGAAGATAGGAATCAGCATCTCAGAACTCGCTGAGTGTGAAATGGCAACACCTCCACCTGCATGATCTTTTTATTGGGAAGGACTCTCAAGGTACCTTTTGATGTGCATTAAATAAACGTAGTTTCTTACCCTATAGTTGGGTTGATGTTCGGATCAAAACTGTCTTCCACAAATCGCCACACAATACTCGATTTACCTACACCTGTATCCTGAAAGAGAAGGACATGGTCCGTAAGAGAACATTTACCTGCTTGCAGATGCTGAAAACTACCTGTGGCTTAAGTTGCGGACTTTAGAAAAATCACCTCAAATATGCAAATTTTAGAAGTTAAGGGATATAAAGGGGGCTTTCATAAAAATTCAGCAGAGTAACTGTTGTTGTCAGTTGCAGTCAGGCTGATTTTGATTTTGACTCCATATGTGCAGAGCAGAACTGTTCCACAGGGTTTGCAAGGCTGTGACCTTTCAGAAGCAGATTACCAGGCTTGCTGGGAGATTTCTTAAGTTTTAAAAAGACACTTGGACCTTTTGAAAGATCCAAAGTTTCTCCTTAGCGTGAAAAGTGACAAACGAACTTGCTTTTTAACATGTCTACGCAAATTATGAACTGTTGAAATACTTCTGAGTAATCCCTGATAAATTCCCAGCCCCAGCCTATTTAGGGGTGAAAAAAAAACTGACTGGAATTATTTTCAATCTTTAAGGCAGCAACTTGGGAAACAGAGCATCAACCTCAAAAAGAATGCTTTGAAATGGCAGTTACCCTGACAATACAGGAAGCTAAAACTTTCAACTAGTCTTTGGGGTTTCCAACAAGATGGTTAAGTTTCTTAGACTTGACCCACTCCCCTTTAGCCCGCCAGCCCCTTATCCCCCAGCAAAACCATACCTTCACAGAGTAACTCTGCAAGAAGTGTCAGGGCGTCCCACAGGTTCAAAAATAACAGATGGGAAAGGAGGCTAATTAAAACCTAAAGACCTGTTAATGCTTTTACTTTGGAAGACTTGGCTAACTCCCAAGCAGTACCCTGGGAAAGTTATCTGAGAAACTACTTAAGAGTTACTTTTAATCTAGGTGCAATGAAGAGGTCAGCAGGGCTCCTTACACTTTGGGGGCTGAAAGAGTCAGGGTTCAGGGACTCTGGAAGCCCTCCCTGGGCTCCAGGAAGGGAACGGGGGAACGGTCCCTCTGGCCTAAGGACCACCTGGAGGGTGCAGCAAGGTAGGCAGGACAGCCCCAGGGCGAGAAGGAGGGGTCTGCGGGACAAGTGGGCGGTGCCGCCGACAGAGGCTGGGGGTGCAGGGGACGTGGGGACACCGGGGGACACCTGGGTTTCCAGCCCAGCCGGCTTCCCAGCCCAGCCGGCTTCCCGCCCCTGCGGCCCTCCCGGCCCGGCCCGCCACCACTCACCCCCAGCAGACACACTTTGAGCTCTCTCAGCGCCATGGCCCAGGAGCCAGGGGCGCGGGCCCGCCGCCGCCC